TGGTACAAGTCAAAAGATTTTCGAGGGTAATAAATATTTCTTAAACCTTAACCGCTTATTTATACATGTATTAATTTTTTTAAACGTGTATGTATGTGAAATTTTTATGAAGTATATTTTTATACTGTATTTTAAAGGAATAATTAAAAACAATATACAGATTTTACTGAGAAGAATTAAGATTGACACAAAATTGCAAAGAAATAGTTTGTACTTAACAAATGTTAGATTATTTTTTTGTCCTATTATTTACTTGCGTTTCTATAGATCTCCTAAACTAACACGCTAGGTTCTCATCACTTGTACCACACAAGAAAAGGGTCTTATTATCAATAAGAAGTTTAATCCCACGGGTAAAGGACATAGATTTCATTGATCGATACAATTTGACAAATAAATTGGCAAAGATAGTTTTCTTTTTGGCAAATTAAATATTAATACTTCCATTTCACTTATTATTTATCCAACTAAATTTTTCAACTAAGAAAAAAAAATGTGTAGCATACTTGGACTTTAGTTAAAGAGATTTATGGGAACGTATTTAATAATTAACACATCAACTTTAATTTAAGGAAATTACTAAATAAACACAAAACCCTTTAAATTACTTTGTAACTATGCCTTGTTATTAAGAAACGATAGTTATTATCTTGGTAATAAATCGCAAGCGATACGCTCACGTTCGACATCCAAGTCCTCGGAGACCCTTCGCCTCCAAATAACATTAGGCCCTAATAACACGAGTGAGATTGTTTTGACACAAGCCATGAGATTTACGGACACGTTTGCGGTTGCCGGATTTGATTGAATTTAAGGTATTTCAAACGATTGAAATGTTTTGAAGGAAATTGGCTTACAATACTATTCATGAGATATTTAAAGAATTTGATGTTCCTAAAAGATATGGTAAAGCTTTCTTTATATAGAACAGAAAAAAATGTTTTTGTTAAGAAAATACCAAAACTATATCAATAACCATTGACTACGCGGCAAAATAAAGCAATGTCATATTTTAATACAGGGTAATTTAAGTTGTGAAAAAAATGTTTTTATTATTCTTCCGAACAACATTAGTAACTAGCTGATCCCGTGCGGCTTTATTATGAAATTATAAAAAAATGTTTTATTGTTTACATTTGTCAAATTATCAATAGCAAATGTCAAAATTACATGACATGACAAACCTTGGCAATCTTGGCAAGGGCTTTTTATTTAAAAAAGAATTGTTCAAAAATATGCTGTAATTGCTGACATCTTAGGCAACAAAGAAGTGTGTGTTTACGCTTTATTATAAAAGTATAGATATACTCGTAGATTCCGTTGGGGATTACCAACACTGTCTGTACCCATTAGCGGCTTAAATGCTTAAAAGCGGTTAAGGTATTTTCGCAACTGACGACGTCCAGAGATAAGGTTTTAAAAAACAATTGCATTTGCACTATAAGTCGGCTAATTTCGATACTGCGCGACTCTGTTGGGATTCAGTCGGGTTTTTGTTACGCCGCATGTTGGCGGTTTCATTTTATCTAGGACGTATACGTTGTTTTCTTGCATTGCAAATTTCACCAGCTAGCCGGCGTTGTGTTGTTTTTGTATCCCCGGATTAAAGCGGATCTAGAAATAGCATAGAGCTATGGTTATACCTTTTCCAAAAAATTGAGTTGACATAAATTATAAATGCATTTACTACTTAACGAACTTAATATCCGGATATTTTAACTCTCATTTTTTCATATTTTGCTGGCGGGATCTTTACGAACGTTAGACAAAATATAAAGAAGAAACATAGGTTGGGTTTATTCATAGAATAAGTAGAATAAGGAGGTACTCAATTCGTCTGTATATTTTTTTTCTAAATGATGTTCGTTAGAATGATATATATGTTTAGATGAAGTATATTTAGAGTGCATCACTATTGCGACACTCCGAACGTAAACAACCCTAACCTTGTAGGGTTGCATCGTAATTAAAAAGCAAAAGGGGTCCAATTGCAAGCGAGTGCACAATAAAGCGCGTGACACACGGCAGAAAAAAAGATTATTCGGTGTATGCGCGCACTAATAATAGGCAAGTCGCACACGTGGTTCTTGTTAGCGCGTCTTTCAACACGTTAACCCTGCCACCGCCGTCAGTAATTGCCTCGTACATAACCAAATAAACAACAAGGGACGCTATGTAATGAGCGTGAATGTTTTTAGCCTTTTATAGCTTGTTAAGGCATGAAATTGTGTATACTTTCATATAAATCAGACGTGAAACTAACCCCTTTGCTTGTCGGTGTATTTTGAGTCACATCTGCTTGAATGTACCGAGTTATTAAAAATAATGTTTGTCACTTAGTATTGCTTGATTTATTGACCGAGTGACATGTATATCGTTTTAATGTTTGCTCCTAATAAAAATAGTTATTTCTGTTGTTTGTCCTTTCATCATAGTTGTGAATGACTTGCATTAATTGTTATTTTAAGTTAGATTCAGTAATATTTAGCAGGGTTTGTGTAAAATGCAAGATTACAATTCTTTTAAACTTTTATTTTATAGTTGTTATAGCTAAGTATCCGAATTTTGGAAGATATTTGATTCTGGCAAACTTGTACTAATAAATGTTCCTTTAATAATGTCTCTTCGTTATCATTTCGTTGTTTGTTAGTAAAGTTTGAGCATTGTGGTGGTCCGTGAGGTATCCTAGTTATAATTCCCGCGGCGCGTCTCGTTAGTCGACCGCCTTATAGCATTAGTGGACCGCAGACAAGCACGCCTGCAAGAGGGGCGAGGGAGCGAGGGGCGAGGGACGTGGGACGCAGGGCCGAGGGAGCCCCGACTTGCAGACCAAGTGTTAAATACTTCTTATTAAAATGCGAGTTTAGTTTTTAATTTAGCTTTTAAGTTTGGAATATTTAAATGTAAAATTTGGAATTGAGTTTATTTTTTTAAACTCAATTCTAATTTTGAGGATATTTTGGAAAATGTCAGACTGGAAATTAATTACACTGAAAAAAATTATAAATTTGGCATTTCTGTCTGTTAATGTCTGATTGTAGTTCGATGGTGTAATAATTTTTACTTTTAAAGAGTATTTTCTTTCTAAAAGTTACTATTAAAAATAATGACTCAAGGGAAGCGAAAAAATAATAATAAAATAAAGAAAACGGGATTAAATCTGAAGGAAGCTTAAAGAGTTTGTGTTCTTCAACATAAAGTAAATTTGTTCCTCCAATTTGCGAATTCCACGAAAGCGCGAACGCTCGACAAAAACTCTTGAAATGGCCCTTTAAAGAAACTTACTGTAAAGAATTGTTCACATTGTACAAGGAATCAGGACTAATTAAATATTTTTTATTTTCTGTTACTCTGTTTAATAAACTATGGTTGCTCTTGAGTCCTGTCTTCTAAAGCCTTGTTGGACACCTTTTTTATTAAAAACATAGAACTGTTTCCTAGAAATACAATCATTTGTTTTTACATTTTGCATCTTTTTACTATTCCTTTGACCATATGAAAAACTTTTTGAATTCAACACCTAAGTAGATGAATAATGTATTCCGCGTATGTAAGTTGTTTTTATTTTACCGCCTGGGGCCTAATACTCTTTGTCTATTTACGTTTTTTTTTGCAAATAGTGTGTCCGAGTCTTTACCGACCCTTCGAACTGAGACGAAGTCGAGTCACGGTCGACTCAATGATTTAACGGCGCCGCCGTTGCGCTAATTGGTTGCGTTTACAAGACAACAGATGATCACACTAATGAGCGCAGTGGCTCCACACCAAGATATCTATCTATTACTAAGATGGCGTACATCTTTGACTAAACTATCGCATGACTGTTGTGCGAATGTCGATTGTTTCGCAGCCCATTCAACTGTTTTGTTACATAACTAAAAATCTCGTAATGTGCACCTCCATATAAGCTCATAGAAATCATAACGGGACTAAACAGTTGTGCGATGGTTTAGTTTCAGGTGTACGCTCTTAGTCTAGCAATAAATACACTTTTATAGACTTTATCGCTCCTAGTGTGCTAATGTTGGTGTACTTTATGAGGCTTGTATAGGAATTCTGACTTCGTTAGTAAATGTAAAGATAAAACTACCAGGTATAAAAGTATGTAGCTTTCTATATTTTTAACTTAAACTTCAGTTCATTAATTACATACTTTGAGTTAAGGTACGAAGAAAATGAGACTAAATGATTATTATATCAAAAAACAAGCTTTACGGAAACATCAGCCATATTTATCCACCATTTAGAAGCCGCATGTGGTATAAGGGACGTTGTGTACCTACAGTTTTATTGCGTTATTAAAAGTTTCTTTTATCTTTGAAAATTCAGTAGATACAGTTAAGATGTCTTAACGTAGTATCGAAGCTTTAAGAGTTTTAGAAGAAATTACTTTCAATTAACAGTCCTTTGGGTATTTACAATTAAAAGTTGGCGTTTCATGTTTTATTTAATTTTGTATTCAATTCACGATCCACCAGAGAGAGTTGAGTCGGCATTTTCTGTGTAATTCGCCACTAATCAAGTTATAGTCGACAGTGCTCCACAACTTTTATATCATTAGCGCTCTCTCTTTTATTAAATTACAGACCGTGTACCATTTGTATGACACAAAACTATGAAACTGTTGTCAATTCTATACACGTTCAGAGAACTCAAGCATTTGTTTTTACTATAAGGCGGCAAACGAGCTAACGATCGCCTGAATTCGACGAGAAAGCGAAGCGATCGCTGCTTATGTTCACCCACAACTGCAGATGCGTTCCCTTAATCAACGGAGATGATACACATAAAGAGGATAATTCCCTTTTCTATGTGTCTCTTCCACCGTCATACCACTTTCCCTTCCCATCTTTACCGTATATGAAAAATATAGGAAAGGAATGGGACAAATATGGGGCGTGTTCACTTCGTAAAATTGAGACTTTTGAAATGTAGGGACTTACTCCAAGTAGACAGACTATGTGATACCAATTTCACTATCTAAGGATAAGTTAACTTACCTTGCCAACCCCAGTGGGTTCCTTAACGCCGAGACGTCGCAATAGTGCTGGAGGCGGCGCGGGGGGCGTGCGATGCAACGCAGAAGTGAAGCCCCCCGCCGGCGCCGCATCTTCATCGCGTCGTCGTCGCTCTCTATGCGGGGAACCCCCGCTGCATTTTGTTGTTGACGCCCTGAGAACAAGACACGGTTTATTAATGTTTCAATGTAATAATATACATCATTGTTTTTACTTCTCTTGTTTTATTTACAGACTACCTTTCGCCCGTGACTCCGTCCGCATGGAATGGAAAATAAATGTCTTATTTATACTAAATTTCATTGAAATCCGTTCAGCTGATTAAGCTACAAACTTTAATAAACATCCATCCACTAAACTTTCGCATTTATAACATTAGTATGAAGTGTGATAGAGGGACAGCAAACAAAGGCATATTTACTCCTCCTAACACTAGGTGGTCAAAAACATAACATTAATAAGTATTACGTTTTGTTGTAGAATGGTAACTTTGTCTAGAATGAAAAAGCTATTCAAAATGGGACTGATCGATGCACATGTCTACTTGTTCGATTACTAACGTTTTATCATATTCCGAGGAGGAATCTGCTATTCGGAATACATAAAACTGTCATTATTCATTACAATGGATGCCGGTCTACACAATGATATGCAACATCGATGTGAAGGATTGCAACAGGCATGGGGAAATACTACAGGCAACATTTTTGTTGCGTCGCTCAATACCAGACCATAGGAATTCGAACGTAATAAATGAATAGGACGTGATGTCCCGGCTGACCTTTTTACATTTTTCAAAAATTCGCCCCCGCGTCAATACCCCGGAGCATAAAGGGCCCTGCACACGATCCCGTGATGGATGGAGTCTACGTGACGACTGACTGTAGCCCGTATTTTATTTTAATGCTACCAAACGGCTTTCTTGGGCGGGGTTAAAATTGAAAATTCTCTTAGAATATTGGAAAGTGGCTCGACGGATGACATCGAAGATCTTAATATATCACGAATTGGTATTCATACGACGTGAACTGCCGCATATAAACAACGTATTAAGGATATTAATCACAAGAGAGTCTTTTTCCGATTGAGATCATTGTCTTTGAATAAATTTTCTTAGAGCTCATAAATTCCTTTGGGACATAAAACAAAGATAGCATGATTGTCAATTCAGATCACAGGAATAACAAAGTTATCCTCCTACAGAAAAAGTGACTAAACAAACTATATTTTTGCTGGTAATAGTTTTTAATAAAAGAACAATGGGTTACAAAATTAAACAAAACACAACGAAAAATGTCCTAAAAGGTAGTAGTAACCAATTGCAAATTTGTTGCAATTGCATATTCTGAATGTTTAAAAATGAAACCATAATATGGTGGCAAGGCGCGGTGTGGCGTGCAGCGGTCGCGTGCTGACTCCCCTCCTGGTTTAATGTGCCGCGGGCTATTAACATTCTTCTATGGGAATGTTTAGATAACTCTCGACTTTGGCTGAACGTTGCGGGCCCTTCGTGCATCGTATGTGCAGCGATAACGCGGTAGGGGCCCATGTAGACTAATTGAAGGGTCATGCTTATATCGATTTATCAGTTCGACAGGTTGGCACAATGGCCACTTTATTCAGGGTAAGCTTTAGTACAAAAGTAGGAAGCGATGTATTGGATTTTTTAGTTTAAAATCTTTGTTAACACCACTCTCGTTACCTATTAGTAAAGAAAGCTATCTTTGACAAACATATACAGGACAAAACAATGTATGCAATGAAATTTCTAAAATCTGCTCATGTTATCAAAGTTTCATTGGAATGAATTCTATGTTTGCCGAACAATATTTATACCCCATCCATACATGTTTTCATAAAAAGTTTAATCAAACATGTCCACGTGCGACATAAATCAATAGCTTTCAATACGATGTCCGCTTCACTTAACATGATGGACGTTTGTGATACCACTTAGAACGGTCATCGATCAAGAGATTGCCGAACTCACCTTAGGGAAATGAATTGTAGAGCCTTTTGACTAAACGGACTATTGACACAAGCTATTGACATAACTGGAGTGTATGTTTACATTAAAGAAATGGTACTTATTTTTTACCATTGCCAGGGGATTTATATGTTTTCTTTTCAATCGAATTTATCGATCCAGTGTTAGAAACATGTATTAGTCTCCACCCATATCGTTCAAGGGGAAGTGGATTTAGTACCGGATGTCTATGGTTCCTTAGCTATTTTGGCGAATTCCTGTGGCCCCTTGTTCATTTGTCACCAAAAGACCAACAAACTGAATAGCGCAATAATGTAGCAATATGTAACCTCACAAAAACCAAATCCAATAAAAACAATAAAATGAATAAAAGAACTAAGTAAACCCGAGACAAAGTCGAAAAGGCTGTAGATATAATATCTTGCAATTTTCAAAGGATGTTTATGCCTCTATGATGTCTCTGATTTCACGGGCCGCTGCGCGCGCTGAAAACAATCCAAGAAAGGTCGAGACTTGACATTTGATAGAATGCTCCTCGGAGCATGAATAAGCCCACGAGAGCCTTTGCCTGCCTTCTATTTTATTATTTTAGCCGATTTTCAATTTTGTAACAAAAACTAACGTTCTAGCGGTTTTACAAGCATTAGTAAAGCATATTTTTCTTTAAATACAATCGTCTTCATCGCAAATAGTTGGCAAACTTGTAGCTTATAAATCTTTCAGTAGCTAAGCGGGGTTTTTTAGGCCCCCGAATAGCCTCGCGTGACGTCAACAATTGATCCTAAACAGCGCATTAAGTCGTTTCTTTTATTTCTTTTTATTATTCATTACTCCATAATGGTGCTAAATAGGGTTATAAAATGTTGTTTACTTTCCTGTTTTATAGTTTTTGGTATTCCGTTATTTGACATTTATTCGCTTAAATTAGAAACATTTTTGCAAAATGAATTGATAAATGGTTTGTGAAGTGGTTTTTCGCACGCAAGGGAAATGGGAAACTCTTTTAATGCCTTATGTAAAAATAGTGGAACTCTCTAAATGGAATACAGTAACGCGTATTCTCGACAGTTAGGAGTGTCATCTTTATGAATATTTGATAACAGATATTGCCCGCGACTTCGTCAAGGCAGTGTTAAAAAAACTAAGAAAGTAGTTGGAATCCATTACTGTTTTGGAGTTACGTGCAAACATCAATCGGAACTTTTCCAATTGGAATATTAGTATAGTATGATTCTATGAGTGAGATATAGATGTTTACCTTAGATAAATTTAGAAATATTGTTTATGTTTACACGGCCAAATAAAACATATCGATTTTATTTATTTTTCCAAAATCAGTTATCTCTTTCTTTCTCGTAGTATTCGGAATTGGAGACGAAGTTCCCGATGTCGCGACATAAAAATTGTCTTCCAAAACTTATGCACGCCATGAAAGTTTTAGATTCAAACAATTCCAGTTTACACCTTTTATTCCTGACTAGACGATTTTTTTCAAACCCCGCATGGCAGCCGGCCAGGCTAGGAATAACTTTTGCATACAGTGTGACGTATTATAATTTATTGCAAATTGAACTTTATGGTGTCGACGTAGAGATTGCGGGTTTGTTTTGTATCGGCAAATATAAGTTAGCACAGCTTGTATTGTTTGGGAAAATGATGGCAATAAATATAAAGGAAGGCCTTTAACAGGACCATCCAATCGCGTCGAGGCGGACTTTTCAATACGATAGACACATTTTAAGCAGGCTTTTTTCTTTTTACAAGCACAATACAATGTTCGTAGCAAGTTATACAACGAGTCATTTTATAGTAGTATTTTGCGCAAACAGATTTTTTGATATAAACTTACAATGTATGATGCAAGATGTTTTAGTCGCCAAGACTATTCGCTGCGACGATTGAACGTGTAAATTCAAATCAGTTCAGTGGATGTTTGAGTAAAATGCCTGTAAAAATGTTGCTTCAGACATCGAAAACGAGAAATGTGATGAGCAAGCGACAGTCATTTTAAATTCTAGTTGTTTTTATATGAAAGAGTGTGTCAGAGGGGATTTTAAAGCTCGTAAGTGCCTTCCAGACAGTTTTCATTTGTAAAGAACCGGCTACAAAGAGACCTGTGGAACTTTCAACAGTTCGCTAAACAGGAAAAGTTTAAGATTTCTAATCTTTGTAATATTGTCACACTGTTCTTTTTTGTTCATTAAGAAAGAAAGCTTATTTCAATGTATTTTCAAATACATTCAAATTTTAATAGAAAAAAGTAAGCACTGTAAGTAAACTTTCGTTTTTTAAGATGAATTTTACTATAAATTTTTCATTTTATTTGGCAATTATTTTTTTAATTAAAATAGTTATTAATAATATTTTAGTATATTTATACTGTAGTTAGTAACTACTAGCTTTCGACCGCGACTCCGTCCGTGTGGATTAAAAAAAAACCAAAAGTGATTAGCCTATGTGTTCTTCCAGACTATTCTCTACATCTGCTCCAAATTTCATCGAAATCCGTTTAGTCGTTTAGGCTACAAACTCTAACAAAAATCCATCCATCCGTCTAAACTTTCGCATTTATAATATAAGTATGAAGTATGATAGAGTGTTAATGCATAACTCTGTCTCGGCAGACGCACAGCCATGCGGTATTAATAAAGGAGTTGGCTTTGTGTATAAAACTCTTCATTAGACAGATCATGGCATTGTTGCGTGCGAGGGTTTGTTCCTTTTATAGACGAATCGGGGATTTTTTTCAACCCTTGGTATATGGCACAATTGATAAGACTTAAATCAATGACCTAAAATTGTATTTCAATTAGTCAGATATTCACAACTTCAGTTTTTTTAAATTTGAAAGCATAAATTAATCTTTCATGAAAACTATACTTTTTGGCTTTAAAACGACAGTTGAGTGCAGCGCCCCTCACGGGCATTTAGTACACTAACAAATCTCATACTTTGTTGATGTTACGAAAAATCTCTCACGAATATTAGTGATTAATGAAATGCATTACTATATTTTACAACACTAAGGGCCTGTTCCACCAAATTGTAAATTAACTGATAACAATCCAAAGTGTAAAACATGTGATGGAAATATCTGACAGTGATGTCATTTTTAAGCTATCTGAGGCTCTATCAGCCAGTGGAATAAGCCCTTAATGTTCGATTGT